TTTTTTTTTCTATGTTTCAGAAAGCACAACGAAACAAAGAGATGATTTAGTGATTATTGACGCTTATAGACACATAAATACGTACACGCGATGAAATAGTTGATGAAGTAGAAGTCATATTTTTTGAAAATTTTTTTGTTTCAACTTCGGTTATCCATCCCGTATGTGCAGTTTGTCTAACAACGATGAAAAAAGTTGCTGCACTCCTTTGTGCATAAAGCGCAAAAAGGATGCAGCGGTATGCAGTTGGTATTATGCTCCAACCGGGACAACCGGCATTCTGGATACTGTTGACGGTCAACTGTACCAGTTTAAAAATCCCAAATATTTTACATTTGCTGACGATCAGTTGTCAGGAGGTACAGGGACTACGGGAACTGCAGCAACAGCACTTTATTCACCCTTATCTGATGAAACTGTGGTATCCAGTGAACAACAACGGGGCTATAAGGACCGAAAGGCGAAACATATCTGCATTGTAATGCAGAAACCACGACACTCAAAACAACTCTACAAACATCGACAAGGTAAGCAAAAAACTTAGTTATTCAGTGCAACTAATTGATGAACACTGGTTTTTATTCGTAAATTTTTTTCTTATCTTGAAAAAAAGAAAGAACCTTTTTTTCCCTTGTTTTTCTTTTTTTTTTTCTGCTTAGCATAACGTTTGGTTTTTCCCAGATCAGAATTTTTTGTCTTGTTCTGTTTTGTTTTGCTTTTTTTTTGTTTTGTTAATTCAGTTTAATGGTTATCAATGGTAATTTATCTGTAGTTGAAAAGAAATACACCAAAAGTGATTAGTGTAAAATTGCAATTATTACTGTTGCATTTGTAGTGGTGCTCATTGCAAAAAAAAAGGAAAAATTTGTTGCTCTGTTAGTGTGAAATATTTGGATGCCTATTTTTTGGTTAAATTTTCATTTATCTATTGTTAATTCACTATATACATAAAATTATAAAATTTGTTATATTTTTTTTACACAAATGTTTTTTTCTCCTGTAAAGAAAAAGAGAGGACAAAAAAAAGCGGATTGAAAAATCAAAAATAGTCGAGGCAAAAATAAAGCAGCAGAGAATTTTTTATTTTATTTTTTTTTT